TAATTCTTTTTAAACCAAAAGTTGGTTCTTTTTAAACCAGAAGTTGGACTTTTTTAAACCAGAAATTAGTTTATTTAAACTTAAAGTTGATCTTTTTTAAACCCAAAATAAGTTTTTTTTAAACCCAAAGTAGGTTCTCTTTAAACTCAAAGTAGATTTTATTAAACCCAAAGTAGGTTTCTTTTAAATCTAAATAGATTTTTTTTAAACCTGAAATAGATTATTTTTGACTTCAAAGTAGTTTTTTTAAACCCAAAGTAGATTTATTTTGAACCCAAAGGGTTTACTTTAAACCTAATATAGATTCACTTTAATTTCTTTAAATTTGTACAAGAATTTATTAAGTAAAGATATCTTAAAAATCTAAGTAAAGATATAAAAAAATGAACTCTTCTTAATAATTTCTTGAACCAACTTTTCAAAACAAAAATTTTTAACAAAAATAGTAAAACTAAATTAAAAAGATTGACATAAGACTGATAAAAATTATAAACTAGTATCTATTATTTAAAAATAGTTTTTATACTATTTGCTAATAGATTTAGAGCTTATCACTTACTATAAAGATAGCACTTGTTATTTAGTAGTTTTTATATACTACTTGCTAACAAGTTCAGAGTTTATGACTTATTGCAAAAAATATTAGCAATACACTTGGATCTACTTGTTTTATTATTTTTAAAGAAAAATATACTCTTTTTTTAAAAAAAGTACAAGGTCTATACTCTTTACTATTACCTACTTTGTGCTTTTAACAAAATTTTTAAAAAAAGTATACAAAATAGCTTATCCTATTAAAAGATTAGCATTGTTTACTTTTTTCAAATTTAGTTAACCTAGTAGATTGCAATTATATATTTTGTTTATCAACAAACATGCTGCTACTCTATATAACAAAATCTTAGTAACTAGTTCTTAGTTAAAAGTATATTTAAAATTGGTTATATATATAGTTAAAAAAAAAACTAATATATTAATACAAAGTTTTATAGTAAAGATATACAAATGTTGTATATATTATATAGTTTTTAAATCTTGTATAGGTTATAATAGTACTATTAGATTTTTTTTATTATTTTTTTAAAATCCATGCTTTATTTTTTTTTTGGTTTGTTCTTTTTTTTTTTATAAATTTGTTGTTTTTATTTTTCTTCTTTTTGTTTTGTACTCCTTGAGAAAAAAGAAGAATTAGAAAGAAAAATAATCTTAATATAGTAGCTAAATACTATGCTATAGTGAGTTTTTAAATATAAGTAGTACTAAATATAGCAAATAGAGTGAAGTTAATAAAAAAAAGACAAATCATTTTTTTTTTAATTTTTAAATTAAAATATCTTAACAACCAATTAATCAAATTTGCTAAATTTTTTTATTTATTTTAATTTTGGAATTATATAAAATTAAAATAAAAAAAAAGTTATAAAATTTAATAAAATAATTGCTAAAATATTTAAACTTTAAAGTCAAAAAAAACTTTTACTTAGAAAAAATTTGACTCTTTTCTATTAACTTCATTTCAAATATCAGTATGATAACTATACTTGTTCACTATTATAACAGCTAGGTATTTGTTTAATATATAGTTTAGTAAATTTTGTAAATTACAAATTTCTAATAAAATTAGTATAAAGTTATCAAAAAAAAAGTTGTAAAGACAATAATTCAGAGTTTAGAGGTAATTAGATTATCAAAATTGGGCTAGTAATTCTTGAGATATATAGAATTAAGATATAAATATAAGAATTAACAAATTTACTATTACACAAAATTAATATTTTGTATAATAATAACTTTGCTAATCCTTATATTCATGCCTTTAATCCAAGATATTTCAAGAACCACTGGGCTAATTTTGATGTCTAATTACTATTAAACTCAGAATAATCTTTTTCTTAATTTTGAAATTATCTTTATTTAATAAATTCTTGTATAAATTTAAAAAAATTATTAACAAATCAAAATAACAGATATTATATTATACAATTTAATAGAATTATTTATACAGTATTAGTAGTCTAAATATTATCATTACACAAAACATAATTTTTTATATATAAAAATTTTCAAAATAATAATGTTACATAATTTTTTTAATAAATAGATTTGTTAGTATATAAAAATAAGTTACCCATTATTGTTATACAAACTTTATTAATATCATAAAATTTTTTATATATAAATAAAGTTTTTACATTATACACAAATTTTTTAGTACTGTTATAGATATACTGTATTATCAAATTAAAAATAAATATAAATTAATTATATTTTTTTGGAATTATTTATTTGTAGCCACGGCTACATGTAGCCATATTCAATAATTCTGCAATAACTCGAAATTTTACTAGGGTAACCCCTGTCATGTAACTAAGTAAAAATGCTCCTCTCGCAATTTTACCCTACTCTAACTCCAAACCCTAACCTAACTCTAACCTTAGTTCTAACCCTAACCCTAATGTTAATATGGCTGCAAAATTTTTCTATAAAAAAACTATTTTAATAGTACGGCTACATGTAGCCTATGGCTACAAATAAATTAATTCTATTTTTTTATTTTAAAAGTTTTTATTATATAATAATATTTAATGAGAAAAATTTTATTTTTGCAATTATTTTCTTGAGAAATTTGAGATATAAACTTACACCAATCTCATCGTTGACAAAAACATTAATTTTGTCGAATGGATCCGGAATACTATATTAGGAAAAAGAGAATAAGAGCATTAAATCTAACTGGCATATACACATATTTAGTTGCATGATATGATATCAGCTAAGCATGAATGGTTAAAAAAATAATATCAACATCCAAGAAAAATAACTTGTCTGACTCGTCATCTTAGTCATCATTTATAAAGAATCGAATGAACGTATAAAAGAATAAACATTTACCTAAAAAAAAAATCAACCCTAGACCTTACAAATTTTGACATTCAGCTTCAAGTGATTATATTTAATGCAGATAAGAATAAAGTGACGGATCATAGTGAATCGACGATATTTCGTAATTCAGAGAAAAAAATTTGGTGATTTTTGTTCATTCGATTCGTCCTGCGGAATGAACCAAATGCGCAAAAATCATTAAATTCTGTTCGATGGTTCACGAGGATATCGTCATTTCAATAAAATAACAATTGTTTGATACCAAAAATTTAAATTACAAGAATTAATATTGCAGATAATTCAACGAACATTCTGTTATGGCACAGACCAGTCAACGGTCAGGTTTGACCAGACCAATTTGACTGGTCTGGTCAGAGAATTTAGTACCGGCAAATTTTTGGTCAACCAATGTTGTATTAAGATCATTTTTCTAGAAGGCTTATCTCATAACTACTAACCAGAATCAAATAATTTTGCATCCTTGGATTCGTCTCGGATAGACAATATGGGCTGCCGTCAATAGAAATCAAGCAAATCTACATTTAAAAAAAATCAATACCTTAACTTTCGCAGCTCATATCTCAATGAATTTTAAAGCTATCTTGACGATTTAATATTCAAAAGAAAGCTTACTATCTAATCTTTCTTTTGAATATTAAAGCATCAAGATAGCTTTAAAATTCATCGAGATATGAGCTATGAAAGTTAAGGCATTACGTTTTTTTTTAAATGTTGATTTGCTTGATTTCTATTGACGGCAGCCCATATAATGGCGTAGAAATTCTCAATTCTGATTGATATATCATGAGACATCATCAAATAAATATAACCATCACACTCCTCAAAAATACATGTTTTTTCTTGTAATTCAAACAGGGATGTACAATAGTTGTTAGGCGAAACCTTCTCCGCATGATAACGAAGGGACCTGAACAAACCCTAGTAGAAGCTCTCGCTAAAAAAAAAAAAAAAAAAAAAAAAAAAATGCAAAGAAACAAACGAATATAAACAAAGCTAAGCTATTAATACTGTATCCACATTAAGTATTAATAATCGGCATTCTTGTAATGAGTTTACATAATAAAGTAACTGCACAAGTACGTTGCATTGCATCAAAACCAAGAACGGATGAACCAGTAAATTATTTTATTCGAAATTTTTCTGTGATTCGAGAACAGCTAAAATTGAGTATAAACGAATGCTACTATTCATTGCATTCATTTAAACTCAAAGTATCAAAAAAGATTTGGTTGTTCTTGAGATATTAACGACTATTCATTTCCGATTTCACAATGATTGCGTTATCAAATAATGTGATATCCCGAGAACGGATGTGACTTTTTTGATGGATCTAAATGAATACTTCGAATCTTAGCATTCATTTAAGTCGAAAAAAGTATAGCTACCTTCGAATTACTTTACATGATGATGGATGAACATTTTCTTTTCGTAAATTCGATTTTTGTTTCTTCAACATTTTATAAGCTTCGTTACCCTTCATCAGTTTCACCACATTTCGTCAGCGCGAAGCCTCCAGGTTTCGTTTAACTATATGATGTACTATTAGTATAACACTTACTTCCGCCATGTTATCCATATTAATTTTATGAAAGGAAAAATGATTATTATTGAATGTAATAAAGAAAACATAAATACCTATTATTCGGCATAACTTTTCTCAATACGATGTAAAGAAATTCGTTTACACTAAATTAACCGAATAACCTATTATAACACTGACCTGACCTTGTGACGAAATGAAAGCACAAATGATTAATTAAAGAGTACAATTCAAGTTTAATATGGTTATTCACTATTAATATTTTTGGCTCAGTGAATATTAAGCAAAATCTCAACATGGATTCTTCAGTCGGTAATTCCAGCTATGTTTGCCTTGTTTCATCATAGTACAAAAAAAAAAAAAACAAAAAAAGATCCAAAATTTTCATTACCTTAATTACCATATCTTACATATATTAATACAATTTATTTCCCCTTCCATATCTACTTAAAACCCTTATGTCAAGAAAGAGATAATTGTTAATTCCAATTAACAAATCGAATGCTAAATTGTGAAGGTAAAGATTTGACACTATTGGTCAGCTTTTTACAAATGATCATGGAAAATTCTTTTTCTCAGAAACTCTAGTTTGATTTATTGTATGAAGTCATCATAAAACGTGCCATTTCACATCAATGCTTTTGTTAAATAAAAAAAAAAAAAAAACACTTACGCACCAGTTTTACCACTAAAAAAAAAACTAATTTTTTGAATGAGATTGAAATCAAGTTTTTTGAGTATCGATGTTTTTCTTCAATTTATATTTTTTTTTTTATTAACGTTAATAATAAAAAAAATCGTGATCTGATAAATATTAAAGTGTTACACACATATCAAGTTTTCACTGGAACGTTCCAATTCATACGGGGCCCTAATTTCCCTCACCGTTTCTGATTGGAGCGGTGAATATTGTGCAAAATTATAGGTGCTGGTGAAATATGGTGAAATAATTTCACCACTATTGGTGAAATTGGTGGTGAAATTGGTGAAATTAATGTAATTAGGGGTTATCATCATCATTATGCCATATATATTAGCTTCCCGCATTACAATAACAACCTATTAGTGGATTCAAGTTGCAAACAGACATAAGTTTATTAACCGAATTTGTTAATTATAACTCGACTATAAACTGATCGCCAGACGATTATTATAGGACGATATATAATCTGCAGAGAATAATGTTGTTGTTGTACATTCCAGTTATATAAAAGGGTTGATTGGCGAAATAGATGTTCTCGAAATCCTGAAGCACATTAGGGATATTGAAGTAATCCATAAAGGGTGAGTTTTTTTTACTAAGTATTTGTCGAGTTATCATATATCCGAAGTTACGCTGCCTTATCGATGTAAAATGCCTAAGAAAAAATTGAAAGCTTTTCGTGGCCTATGTTTCGACATAGAACGTTCTTTTTCTGAGTTATTTGGTGTTCCTGCGGTTGTGCGATACACGGGGATTAATGGGTGAATAGGATATATGCTAACTAATGAGTGCGCACCGTAGAATATTCCGGCCGTGCGATATTTAGTTGTTAATAATTATGACATAAATACTTACATTATTATTTAATAATAGTCGTAGAGGGGATGGTGGAGTAGATATATTATGCCGATTTAAAGGGAGTAAATTTCTGATTCAGGTCAAAAACTGGAGTAATAATTTAGGTATATATTATATTTATTTATTTGTTTGTTTGTTTTTTATTTTTTTATCAATCAATTAATTAATTATAGAGCCTGAAGTTATTAGAGCATTAAGAGGTGTTACATGCCGCAAATCAACAAATTCATTAGAACTTCTAGAAAAAAGGATAATAAATAGAATAGTTAACATTTAGCTTGTTAAAGCAAATATGCAGAGTAATAAAGTAATATATTTGCAATTTTCTACTTTGCTTGAATAGTCAATTTACTAGATAAGAAGCTCATTTTGAGGTAACATTCGATGTTTGGAGGAAGGTACTATAGGAATTGTAGTAGGAAATGGGTTTACACCTGGCGCGGTAGAAGCTAATTCGTCCTTTAAAAAACATCCAATTATCCTAACCACCAAAACTCGACTCTCCTCAACTTTCCTTAATTTCACCCTTGAATTTATTTACAATGATTTTAACCCTTCTTTTTATAACAATAAATTCTTTCTTAGCCATTAATTCCACTTTAATTATCGTCTTTCTTTACCGCTTCATTTCTTACCGCTTTAACTATCATCATTCCTTTTTTTTTTACCGCTACAATTATTGTCTTTTTTCTACTGTTTTAACTATCGTCACTCCTTTTTAAAAATTCTTTTTTGGGATACTAGAGTATTGACCTCCACATGGTGTATCCTGGATTATAACTAACGAATACTCATTTTTTATTTTCAATTTACTCATATATATTTTTTTAGCAAAGCATATAATATAAATTCATTAACGAATCTGATTGATCGATAATACGTTCTAGTTTTGTGAATAATGACCAATTAACTCAATACAATTTGTTTTAATGCGCAAATTCTGTTTTGTAATTTATCCTGTACTTTATTTTAAATATTAATAAAGCTGGCCCTGGAGATCGATTTCACATACATAATCAGTTTACTTTTGCATGTTTATTTCGTGAATTTACTTTATTGTATTGTTATCGATGTATTGTACATTACTCGCATATGATCGAGAATTTTTCTTGGCAACGTGATGAAATGGAACGTGCACGTGATTTTTTATTTTTGTTGGGGCGAATGCAGTTGCAGTGAGCAATTTATTAGCCAAGGCAATCATGGGTCATAAGCAGGGATGTCAATTGTTCAGTTTGAACTTACCTGATTCTGGAAGTTGAGTCAGTATCAGACTCGAGTGTTTAATCATGTGCAGTTATACAAAATCAAACGTCAATTAGGTATCATTGATTTAAATGCAACGTGATGTATGCTATATATGTATAAATTTTAGTACGTTGCCCTTGCTAATTTCATGTGATGTTAGTGAACTCGAAGTAGAGTCAGATTCGAAAACCAACCAAACCGATCCGTTTTAATATAGGTTTTGTTCAGATTAAAAGCAGGGTTTAAGGTTGCAGAGTATGGCATTAATTCTGTGGGTTACATTATTCAATGCTATACGGTACAATGCTCTATTGTTGGTATGGGATCATATGATATAATATCAAAGTTTTAATGTGTTTACATTTACATAAGCTAACACTCATGAAGTGTTTCTACAGTATTAGTAATTCTTGTGATCTATTTAGTACTTGGTGTACCGGTAGCGCTTCTCTTTCTTCTATTGATCAATGCGATTGAGTTTGTGTACATTTGAATTACCATGATTTCTACTATAAGTTATTGTAAAAATTCTCTTACAAAACTTGCTCGCTATTTCAGCGACATGTAGTTGTAGTTTTCATCGAAATTATCACGAATTCTATTACAAATTACCGTAAATAATTCTTTTATAAAACCTACTCGCTATTCCAGTGATACACAGCATGTTGTTGAGATTGAAACGGTTTAATAAATTACCGTAATTTCTATCATAAGTTACTGTAAAGCATTCTGTTACAACTTATTATTGCTCTTTTCGATTTAGTTTAATTTGATCGGTTTGTGATTTTTTTGTAAGAGTTCCATGATTACAATATATATAATCACTTAAATTTACTACATTTTTCAGAACCATTTAATAAATATAATAAAAATAATAAAAAGGTAATGAGATGAGTTCTGGAATATAATGAATTTAGATAATTGTAATTATAGGACTCACGGAGCTCGCAAAAAAATCATATAGTGATCAAATCCAACCAAATCGAAAAGAGCAATAATGCATCACACAATGGTTAGAGTTGAGTTTGTTTGTATTGATATTGTCATGATTTTCATCACAAGTTATGGTAAAACATTCTTTTTAGATATTTGCTATTTCAGTGATCACATTATGTGATTAAAATCATGTAAGTTTGTATTGGAATTTTCATGGTTTCTACTATGAGATGTGTAAAAAATTCTGAAATGCTTACCCATTATTCTGGCAACCACAGCGTGGTTAAGGTTGAATTAGTTTATATTAGAAATGTCTTGATTTTTATGTAGTTAAGTTTGAGTTAGTTTGTATTGATATTATTATTCCTTTCATAAAGAATTCTGTTGCAAAACCTCTCACTATTTTGGTAACAACATAAGGTTGAGTTATTTTGCATTGAAATTATCATATTAGAATTATTGTGATTTCTACCACGAATTATTGTAAAAAAATTCTGTTATAGAAACTTGCTATATTGGTAACCACAGTATTGATTAAAGTTAAGATAGTTTACACTGGAATTGTCTATATAGTTGAGTTAGTTTATCACAATTTCTATCATGAGTTATTGTAAAACTCAAAAGTTGCTGTAAACAGAACTTGATCACTATTCTAGTAATAATAAAAAGGCAAGTTATCAATTACCATAATTTTTATCGTGAATTACTATAAAAAATTCTGTTACAAACCTATTCAATGCATAATATGCAGTTAAGGTTAAGTTTGTATCGAAATTGTTGTGATTTATATAATAAATTACTATAAAATTCTTATACAAAACCTGCTTGCTATTTTAATATTTACAATATGCACTTAATGTTAAGTTAGTTTGCATTAGAATATGATTTCTACTGTTACAAACCTTACTATTCTGGCAATATGCAGTATGTGACTCTAATGCATATTTTTAATATTATTTATATCTTAGTTAATCTGATATTGAAAATACAAATTATGCATAACGAATGAATGTTAATTTTTAAAAAATCATAAATGATGACTGAGAATGTGAATAAGAATAACTGGTCGTTTCTGTATCCTTGATTTTTCACATTTCAATTTCTATGCATTCACAGATCAATTATGAATCATAATCATATTACAATATTAATAATGCAAATGACAAAATATCACAACATTAATTGATTGAATAGATATAATTTAAACATATAGTAAAATATAGTTATAGCAAATATGTAATATATATAATTTAAAGGCTAAAATCAAAGTAAATTTATAATTAATTAATAACTGACATCTTGCTGAATAGTATTCATTGAAAATTTTAGTTATCTTTTCTTAAAATTGTATTACTTCGACAGATAAATATAATTTATGAAAAAACAAATATTAAAAGAAAAAATATATAAGCTGTTGCAGTTTTGAATATTTATATATATAGAAATAGATACCGTAATGTAAAATTATATTTAAGTGGTTATCAGATGAACTATTGTATAGCTAGCATATTTAGTAATGATTATCCAGAAAACAAATATATAAATACAATAGTTGTTTATAGCAGAGTGAAAAACAAAGCACTAGAGATTAAGAATCAAGATCTAGATCAAGAATAAAGAATAGAAATCAAGAATAGATTAATAGCCTGCTATACAAAATACTTTCAAATCTGTAATACTATTATTTTCTTATATATGCATTTTTTTTTATTAAAAGCAGATAGTGATCCTATCCAAAAAAGACCAAATCTTGCTTCAAATATAAAAAACTATAACACAAATATAAAAGTACCTTTTGAGAGAGGTAAAGAGAGGTAAAGAGATAAAATTTTTATCAATCATATTATTAGAACTTGAATTACAACAAGTTACCAAACTTAAAACTGAAAATACCAAACTAAAACAGATTATTGAAAAAATTGCTAATCTTAGAATCAAAAATACAAGACTAAAACAAATCATAAAACAAAATCAGACTACTAATAATGCTTTGCAAGTACCTATTCTATTACATATTAATGATCACTCTGATAGTATTAACTCTTTTCCTGAAATAAGTTTTAACAATACTTCTAAACAGGTAAAAAATATATCTGATAATGCATCTAATCTAAATATATACCAGGAGTCAAAGAATCAATGCTTTATATTACATCAGCAAATTTAATAGGGCATAATATTACGAAATAATTTATGACCCGTAAAAAAGGCGTAATATTACGTAAAATATTTCGAAATATTGCGAAATATAAAATTACGA